GTATATCCTGTCCCACCAGCCCTGTGGTAGCTTGCATAAGGGTGAAGCTTCTGGCTCTGCTGAGACACGCTCTCCTCTGTGGCATCACTAAAGAGCCTTAGACAAGTACAGCAAGGATGTACTTTCTAAAGAAAGTCAAACAGCCAAAACAGAAATTCTGAAAAATACAGTGCTTACAAGTCCCCTGTATCAAACAGGGCAGAAGTCCTTGTCAGCAAGAGGACAGGACAAATACCTACATTTCTTCCTGAAACCCACCCAGAGTTCTTCTCTCTGCCAGATACTACCTACTCCAGGCTCTCCTTGTTTCTCTTCCCTACCTGAATTTAAACAAACAAGCTCTGCCCATAGACTGCCTTCGGCTGCTACTCCAGTACAAGTCACAGATAAAAAGCAATGCCTGGACCAACTGATGTGTGCTGACCTGCTCAGCCAGCCACAGACCTCTTTGCCCTTGTAAAGACATGGACACAAAGCACAGGCAGTCATCGTAAAAATACTATGAAAGACTCTCCATTTTTAGCACCTTGATTTTCTTGGCCTCTGGTTGTGTTGGACCCCAAGCGTATAGCCTGTGCCATCTCGCGAGCTATACGCTAACACCTCTCTCTACCACAGAAGCACCAACACGGGAATCCAGGCTTGGGGTTGATTTGTGGTTGCATGGACAGGGCTGAGGATTGGGACAGGTTTTAACCCGACTTCCTACCTGGGCTACCCACAGGTAATCAAGACATCACCTCCGTGCCCCCTCCCAACCCTGCCAGGTCCATAGCTGGCAGGGAGGAAGGGCTTCATCAGCACTGACAAATGTGCTTCCTCACCTTTATGGCCCCTTTCAGAGCACTGTAGAATGATATCATCACCAAAAGCAGACAAAGGGACCCAAATGGGTGGTTAACTCATGGGTGGTACTACAAACCAGGAGCAGGAGGCAGTAAAATCACTAATGATGAGAAACTCTCGTGCCTTGTGAGGTGAAGACTGGCATGTGGGAGCTTCCTTACCTGCTGCTGCCACCTGGCCAGAGATGCTGTGGCTCTGTGACCAGAGGGTGGATGTGCAATGGTGACAGCAGCAGCAAGAAGGGGACAAGGAGGCTGGAAAGAGGGCAGAGAGAAAGCCAAGGAGGCAGGAGGTCTGGTGGCTCTGAGAGCTGTGGGATGAGGACATAGGGAAAGGCTGTAGCTCCAGACAAGAAAGATTTTCACTTCTCTGGTGACTTCAGTAGGCTCAGGACCCAAACTGGCCACAGAGCATCAACAACAGCCAGCCTAGCACGGACACAAGTGCCCACCAGCCCTTATCCTCCCAGCACTGCAGCTCCTGCCATGGTGGATGTAACACCTCAGCTTGTAAGTGTCCAGCGACACCAGCTAAGGAACAAAAGGTCATGAGAGCACCTAGCCAAATCGGCCCAGGCGTGCCGGTGTAAGTTTTGTACCAAATATTCTGAGCTTTAACATGTATTTAGCATCTCTTCTTCCTAATAGCATTCCCTCATGTTTCTTCTCTTCCGGCACTGAATGTGTGATTCAATCATGCATTAACCTTTGTGTCTGATTCCTGATCTGCTGTTAAAATCTACGTTAATTCCTTAGAATCTCACAATTTTTTCCCCAAGCAAATTCTGAACAGTTCTGGGATTCCGGTACCCGCAGACACAGTAGGTAGCTAACATGGTCTGCTCTCCAACAGCTCAGGCTGCATGAATGGTCTAATTAACACCTCATCAAACTCAACTGTTGGTTGTGTCTGGAGAAATTCCCTCTTGCACCTGTGCATTCACAAGACACCATTTCTAGCCTCCCACACAGCAGGCCCCAGCCATCGGAGCAATGCTCCATCACTGCAGAGCCTATCCTTACATCAGCAGTAGCGGTCCTGGTCCCGTCTCCAGAACTTGCCAGCCCAGAGTGACACTGATAACACTCTGTCGCTGCTCTGAGCAGGGTGGTGCAAGAGCTTAGGAGCAATAACTCAGCAGTGAAGGGTGTGAAAAGCCCACACCACTGCGTTTCAGGCAGGGCTCTCCTCCCCTCACTGTATCCTACCTCCATCATCAGATGCAGAGGTTTCACCCACCACAGCTTTGTGTCACTTGCCTAAGGACAGACTTTGCAGTGGGGCAGCGTGCACACACCCCTGCCAACCTTCAGGTGCCTGATCTGCACTCATGATCTAGCCTGTCTAGCAGACCCCAGAGAAAGGTGGTGCCCCAGGAGGGGTTCAGTCCCACCCTGTCCTGGAGGACAGGCCCTAGGATTGGATCAGAATGGCCCTGGAGGTGTCCATCTCTCACCACTGAGACAGACAGAGCCTGGTGCACAGCAGAGCGCAACACCCAATTCACGTTGACAATATCATTATTATTGCAGGGCAGGGTTTAAACATAAAGAATAAGTTTAGCTTGTTTGCTTGAGATAACAGTTAAATAATAGACTACAATGCTTGGAACAGAGCATACAACAGGAAAATGTAATTTTAAGTAATAATTCATAATGAGATTATTCTGAATGTATCAACACCTCAGGTAACTCTAGAGGCTTTCCCTGGAGAACATCTAACTCCAGCTTCTGCTGTTGGAGATCACACTCCCTGGGCCACTCTGAGAAATCTTTTCCCGCTTCAGCTCATTTCCATTATTTGCTGCCCCAAAATCCGCTTCCTCACTTTGTGTAATGGGGTACTGCTTACCTGGCAGACTAACCCACCCATCCTGACTCCTGTGCTGGGGTGTATCATCTCTCCCCTCCAGCCTTACTTGAGTCGTAATCTTCCACTTGGCATATCTTTTCCTATCTGGTTGACTTCTGCTTTTCATCACGTTTTTTAAAATAAGAGCAAAACTTTGCAGATTTCACATCATCGTGACTATCACCTGTACGCACTTCATCCTACCGGAAGCACTACATAGACCACTCATGGTCGTCTAGCAAGGCAGACAGCAGGCTTGCCATTGAGAGCACTTTCCTAAATTCCTTCTCCTGCTTGCTGTGTGGTGCTCATTTAGGATCCCCGGAGGCATGTCCTGGCTGTGACAGCCCCAGGCACATGCTGAGCCACATCCCATCGACCAGTTCTGCGATGCTCCCACTGAAGGCAGAGCTCTCGGTAGCAATAACTGAGTTCTGAAGAGACCTCAGGGAGCTGTTGGGAATAAAGCTCACGCTGTCAAGTAGCTTAGGCACCGGGGTTTATTTGTTTGTCCTTTTGCAACTCCATTTCCAAATACTGCAAATGAGCATTTAGCCCTTTGTCTTTGTGTAATCAGACTTGTTCCTCCTCTTTACGCCCCGCCTGGTAATAATGGGTTCTTTATGTGGAAAGACAAACAGCTCTTGTCTCGCAGGAACCCATGGGCTGTAAGGCCATGCAGGCACGTGCCACTCGCTATGAGCTGCGGACACCAGGGTTTGGAGTGCAGGACACAAAATTTCTCCAAGGGAGAGAGAAATCACTTTGTGCACCTGTGGACCAGCATCACCCTGGCAGGCAGGGACGGCAGCAGAGAAACAGCTTATAGCTTGGAGAGCAGGCATGCTCGTTACAGCTCTTTCAGACCAATGTGGAGGTCTGGAGAGCCCCCCATCATCCCGTCTTCAGGGCTGCTCAAATCCTAGCTCTTACCTTCCTTCCCTTTCATTTGAGATGGTGTTTCTGTCATCCTCTCCATCAGATTGTATGCTACAGCCTCGCTCCCGGGGTCGCCGTCAGTCAGAGCATGGCTCCAGCAACGCAGAGCTGCCGGACCACCCTGGCCGTGCGACTC